GTCACTTATTTATCACAATGGAGCATTAATCTCTAATAATTGCATACAAAATAACATTTGCAGCGGAAATATTCATCATATATCAATAAAACTCGATGAATATCGTCGCGATAAAAAACTTCGTCATCAGAAAAAAAAAGAATAATAATTAAAAAATACATCATTCGTAACATTGAAAATATTCATCGTGATAGAAAAACTCGTCGTGTCTCGTTTGCAAAAAAAAAAAAAAAAAAAAAAAGGAATTAATCATCGACGAAGCAACGATCAACGATCGATCGATCGATCACTTTCCCCAAGATAACTGCCACTCCTTGGAATGTCTCGCCAGGTGCCATAAACTCCCCTCAACTGTTGATGCTGTCGGGGATCGGGCCGAGGGAACACTTGCAACAAGTGGGGATCCCGTTGGTCCACGATTCGCCGGGTGTCGGTCAGAACCTGCAGGACCACATAGCAGTCGGCGGCCTGGTCTTTCTGATCGACTACCCGGTCAGCACGGTGATGACCCGGCTGGTGAACCTGAACTCCGCTCTGAGGTACGCGATCACGGAGGACGGGCCACTGACGTCGAACATCGGCCTCGAGACGGTCGGGTTCATCTCGACGAAGTACGCGAACCAGAGCGACGACTGGCCGGACATCGAGTTCATGCTCACCTCCTCGTCCACAACGTCCGACGGCGGCACCCAAGTGAAGAACGCCCACGGGCTCACCGACGAGTTCTACAACAACGTGTTCGAGGCCATCAACTACCGCGACCTGTTCGGCGTGTTCCCGATGCTCCTCAGGCCCGAGTCCCGTGGCTTCATCAAGCTGAGGTCGAGCAACCCTCTGGACTACCCCCTCATGTATCACAATTACCTGACCAATCGACGAGACGTCGACGTGCTGCGCGAGGGCGTGAAAGCCGCGATCGCGTTCGGCGAGACGAGCAGCTTGAAGAGGTTCGGCGCCAGGTTCTACAGCCGCGCCCTGCCGAACTGCCGTCATCTGGCCATGTTCACAGACGAGTACTGGGACTGCGCCATTAGACAGTACACGATGACGATTTATCACATGAGCTGCACGGCCAAGATGGGCCCGCCCAGCGATCCCATGGCCGTCGTGGATCCCGAGTTGAGGGTGTACGGCGTGACCGGGCTGAGAGTGATCGACGCGTCGATCATGCCAACCATCACCAACGGGAACATCAACGCGCCGGTGATCATGATCGGCGAGAAGGGCGCCGATTTGATCAAGAGGCAATGGTCGACGAGGAGAAAGAGGGACAACGTGACGAGTGACGACGAGAGACTGTTGGTGGGAAATTATTGAAAGCCTTGCAAACTCTTTTGTTCTTCTCCCGTCCTAACGTTTTACTCCTCTGACAATGAGTCAAGAAAAAAATCAAAAAGGATAAATAATATTTCTTTCAACACAGTCGACACAGTTGATTTCTACTTTAAGAAAAAACGTCGAATAAGATTCTACTGTTTTAGACTTAGGTTTTTCAATTTCACGTTACTTTGTAAACTAGATAGAGTAAAATAAATTATATTGTAATTTATAATAAGTTAAATTATGTATAACAGAAAGAATACATAAAATAATATTGTTGTTGTAAAAGAATTATTATTATTATTTGTGCTCATTTTAAAAGTTGCCACATCAACGATAAAGTCATTAATGACCACCAAAAATGACCAATTATTGGCCAAACAGAAAATTGAACACAGTGAGAATTATATTTTTCAGTGATTCGAATTTCGCAATATTTTGTACGTGATAAATTAAAGAACAGATGCAACACTGCAAATAGTGTTTCTCGTTTAATTAAATTCTTCATTCCGTGTCGTTTTGTAGATAATAAATTAGAGAAAAAAGTGAGAACCTAATAAAATAGAAATAGTATTTTTCATCGATACTTAGCTCAATTCCTCAATTTAATGTAATAGTATTTTTCACTGATAACTATCAAATTTTTCATTCAATGGTTATAGAAGAATGCAAAATCGAATGATTGTTAAACTGTCGTTGCAGAGAAACTTACTCTACTTTATGCATTTTTAAACAAACAATGGTCAGCAATTATGAATGTGTTTTGTACTATTTTTTTTCTATCACTTAAATACGTTACTATAAATACTAAACTATTTAATTCTTTCCTTCGACAACCTAACTATATACACGTTACTATATATTATACTCTATTATACTAGAATATTATTTTTTCCCTTCAATTAGTAGTTTAATATAGTATATTAATATAATATATATTGTACTATATTACTATATATTGTACCATATTACTACTAATATAGTATACTGTAGTATAATAATATTGTACTATACTACTAATAATATAGTACATTAATATGTACAATATTGTATTATATGTTGTAATATATATTGTACTATATTACTAATAATATAGTATATTAATATGTACAATATTGTATTATATATCGTAATATATATTGTACTATATTACTATATTAATATAGTATATTAATATAATATACTATATTACTATATTAATATATTAATACTACTCTACTATACATTACTATATTAATACATTACTATATTACTATATAATATATTAATAATATATAGTAATACAGTATACAGTACTATATATAGCAATATAGTAATACAGTAGTATTAATATATTAATATATTAATAATATATTAATATATTAATACTACTGTATTACTATATTACTATATTAATATATTAATACTACTGTATTACTGTATTAATATATTACTATATTATATTATATTATAATATATAATTATAATATAT